TGCCCACCCAGCAGATCAGTCATTAGACTTTTAAATCTCTGACATATTAGTGAATTTTAAAAGGCCGTATCAATGCTTTGTTTTGCATTTGATTATCAGTGATAAAGAACTGCTTTCCTCATGATTATTGGTGATTTATTTATTTTTAATTGTTAAAAGTATTTCTTTCTTTTTCTTTCTTTTTCTTTTTTTTTTTTTTTTTTTTTTTTTTGCCAAATGCCATTTATTGAAGGAGGGAGGACGTCTTAAATATAGGCTTATAGCACAATGGGAGAACCCCAGAGGATAGAAGTTCGCTACCCATGTTTTACAATCTTACATCTAAGCTGTTAACGCCCATTATGCAGGATACACAGACAGGGAACTTCCCTTAAGCATTCAGGAGGGTAGAACCCAGCAGGGAATTAGCACAGGGAGGATATCAAGGTCAAGGTCAGCAAGCAAGGCAACAGTTACCCAAAATGGTCCCCCTTTTACTAGAAAATGAGCTTCTGACTTAGGTTGCATGGGTCATCAGCAGGTCACCTTACCTGTCATGGAGACACCTGCCCAGGCCACACAGGTGCTCTGTCTTAGGTTAGTAAGCGCCTTCCAGGTATTACCCATCTCTGAATACTCATTATCATACAGGCTCAATCGTGTTCACACTGCGGAGTTAACTGCTGCCAAAGATCTCAAAGTGGCACTGGGCTTGCAATCTGTGTGTTTGACACAGAAAAAAACAACATAACTCCTAACACACCCATAGTCAGTAGGTTAAAGGCAACTGAGCCATTCCCTTCCTTAACGAGCCTTAATGGAAATTGGAGGCCTTGTAAGATGGTATCCCAAAAGCAAATGGATCTTGAGTTTATAAATTTATAATTTTCAAAGCCAATCGAAATGTATATAACTATTGAATTAAATTTATCATGCCCAATAGAATGAAAAATTAACTAACTGTGGTAGCTACTTTTGCTGCCAGGGTCTCCACTGTGCTAGCTGTAGTAACCAGTTATGAAATGGTAACCCCAGAAACAGTAGCAGCAGTGGCCGCCACTGCTATAACAGCAACAATGGCAGCAGCGATGTCAAATTCTCTTCTGGAGCATGTGGACATCCACTGGCATGGACACAGCTCCAGGAACACAGACCACCAAGGCCCATTTTTCTTGATCCCAGCACAACTTAAGCTGGTAGCTCTGCAAAAGAACAACTAAGAACCATAAAGAAAAAAACAGGCAGCTTACAAGGAGCATAACTAATGGTCTCATAATGGTTACATTCAGGCTCATAAATTTTAAGGTATCTTCAAAGGTGGCTAAATGAATTTCAGGAGGCCAGTAAATGTTGCACAGAGCCACTCCTGAAAAGTAGGTACTACACCAGCTTGAAGAGGATTGTGAAAATGAAAAGGCTTAG